GCAGGAGGAAGCCCAGGCCCAGCGGCCGCGGAGGTGGCACAGCCAGCGAGCCCAGCACCGACCGGGGCGCCGGGAAGCCTGGCAGGGGTTCACGAAGGCTAGAGCTGCCGGGAATAGAGCACGCTGCTATTTACAGATCACGCAGTAAATTCGGTAAATTGCAGCATTTCCAACCTAAGCTAGGTTAGGCTCGCAGAAAGGAGGTAACGGCTGCTGGTTGTCAAGCAATTTCAGGCAAGTCACTTCCTCTTCTCTACCTCAGCTTCCCCATCATCGAAACAAATCTTGACACCAACCTGCTCGGTGAAGCATTTTGAGGTAAGCTACTGACAAGTGTTACTAGATAAAGGGAAAAAAGTAAATACTCCCTCCCACATAGGTGTTTGTGGATCTTGGTGCACGTCAGTCAGCTCATTAGCGCTGGTTTCTGCCAAACTGCGACACGTAGCAATCTTGCTCTAAAACCAGGGCATCACCAGTAAGGACTGAAGATGAACCAGAGCAGGACCCAACGGGAAGCGCAAACGGGTTGGGGGGGAGAGGGGGGGAAGAAGACGCTCACTACAGAAGAGATGGCTAAAAAAATACCTGGAACCCAAGGAACTGCACCCAACTGGGACACGCACACGCTTGTCCTTTGATATGTATTTGACCTACCTATAACAGCTTACATCAACACTAGCTGATTCTATAGATTTACAAACAATTAAGAGAAAAGCTTTGCTGAGAAAGTTTTTCTGAAGAATCTGGGGTTCCACCACCAACACGGCACTGCACAGGACACGTATCTAAAGTCGCCTTGAACATACAAAAAGCGGTTTCGGGCTGCAGCTACCAGCATTCAGGAGAGAGGATTCAACTCCCAAAAAGCGTAAACGGCTCCTTTGATTTTCAGTGAGAACTGTTAAACAGAAACTTAGGAGCTGCACTAGGCTGAGGAAACCAAAGTCCAAGGCGATCGTCTCTACGTTTAAAGGCGCTCAACTCTAACGAGCGGCGGGCGGGGGGATCGGTGCCCGCGCAGCTTCGCTGGGCGCTCTGACCGAGGAGCAGGGGCGGCTCTGACCTTGCAGGCACGGCACAACAGAAACAGGCGTCCCGGTGCCACCGCCCCTCTCCTCCGAAGGGTAGCGCGTCGCTGAACCAGCTAAGCTTGACCCACCGGCTAGGAAGCGAGCTGCGCTTGACAGCGGCGTCCCGAGCCTCACGCTGCGCAAGCTGGGACCACGTCGGTCTCGCGTCAGCCCGCACCCCTCCCGAGTACTCGCTGCCTGCGGAGACCGACACTTCCACCGCGCTCACCCTCCTGCAGTGCGATGTGCCCAACGCGCGGCCGCCGTAAGAGACGCGCCGCCCTGCAGGACACCAGGCGTTCCCCCGTGCGTGACACCCAGAGGCGCGAGGGTGGCGCTGCCCGACGGGACACCCGCAGTCCATTAGCAACGGACTAATCATCACGCATCTTTACACAGTTTAACGGGTTGGTTCATTTCCTTCGCTATCTGGGAGATAAATATTAACCAAGCACAGCCTGTGAAGCCAAACTCCGTAACCGAGCTCATCCGTGGTCCCTAAACAACACGCAGCCCCGACTCTCCATGGGCTTCATTTCTCCAAATCAGTTTTGGCTTCCAAGTCCTGATCTTATCTGCACGGACAACACTATGAAATTACCATAATTAGCAAACAGCTGTAACCATTTCATCTCGCAAAGCAAACACACCCAACTCTTCCTGTTTCAAAGCAACGCAACCAGTGACCGCTTACAGCGAACACCGCAAAAGCATGCTGGCACGTGACGTCACTCGCTTTACCTGCTTCACTCAGAGCTCTTCTGACCCAGCTGATGAAACCAATAAACTGCTAAGCCAGAGGTAAAACAAATAGTTTCAAACAGGATCTAGGCATAGCCTAGCTCACCTTTATGAACGATGGGTAACAAGGAGCCTTGGAGTCCTGCCTTGAGAAAACCCTGGAGAGCAACCTCGCTGTGCTACAGCAGCTGGGACAGAAAGCGTTTCCAGGCTCTGAGCTGAGATGCAGCACACGGGGGTTTCTTGTTTGCATTCAAATCCTTGACAGCTTGAAATCACAGCGGGTATTATAAAAAATGGCATATACTTTTTTTATAAGGAAACAGCACTGGCTTAATGGCAGTGAGAGGCCTTCCTGGCATTCCTTGCAGGCTAAGCCACAAAGCCACACCTGAATATTAGTTACATCCTCTCATATAATAAATACCCTCCAACTAAGAGCAAATTGCCTCTGCTCCATTACCTTTTACTGGCGTGCGACTGTTACGAAGGAACAAACAGTACATAATAACGAGCAATGAATACTTCAGAGCTGAGAACTCACAGTCGCCAGAGGCTGAAGCTCACACGGGACGGCACAAACACCGCGGCTGCAGCAGCACAAGGGCTTTACAAGCTCGGCCTTACTGTCAGTTCCCGCATACGCAAAAATGGGTGAAGGAAGCCACGGGCAGAAGTTGGGGTTTGGGATCTGGGTAACCGAGCCAGATGCTCCAGCACCGTTAAGTACAAATATAAAACCGGTGAAAGAAGTGTGAAGTTCACCTTTCCATTCCCGAGGGTCCTGGTCTATTCGGGCAGGGACGGGTAAGGGACAGGCTGGAGGAGAGCGTCCCTGAGGCCGTGGTGCCCCGAGCCCAGCAGGGCAGAGCGGGTTGGGGTCTGCTGGAGCTGCGACAGGAGCTGGGAGGGGACATGGCCCCGCGCCGCACAGCTGGCCAGCTCCACAGACGGCGAGGTGAGTCTCTCCGAGAGGACAACGCGTGCACAGGAGCGAGGGCATCATTTTTAGACCTTGAGCCAAGCAAGGCAGAAGAGCAACTTCAGCCTCCATCTCCAATATCCATATTTAAATTTTCAAAATTAATAATATAGTCAAAATATCAAAATATGTGCTTTAGTTTCCTTGTGGACTGTGAAATATATACAAATCAATATAGCATTTGTGCTCCTAAAGCATTCAAAGTATTTGCAAATTCTAAGAGCATGAAGGAAAATAAAAAGACAAAACAGTTCTACCAGCGCATAGTCAAGCAGCAGCATCCAGACAAGCCTGCTCCTTGTATTCCTATATTTGCTATCAACTAACAAATCCAACTTCTAGCTCTTGTTACATGATTCAAGAGGCTCTGATGACAGCCATAGCGGTTTGGGGTTTTTGTTAAAGCATTCTGAAATTCCCTGTCACTGGGACAGGGTCATCTGCTACTGACCCGAAGCACACATTAAAC